TATTGACCCTCTCTGTTTTGGGAAAAAGAATGAATTCAAGATGCCACTGTCTTGGTAGTAGCTGAGTCTACCCAGGTCAATTTAAATAATCAAATGCACAAATATTTCATTAAGAAGCGATCATACTCTATACTGGGTTCTAAGTTTTATTCTCTGGGAGGACAGAAAAGCAGAGGATCCTGACTAAAAACCACTATTCCATGAGCCATCAGAATGGGCCTTCTAATAGCTAAGGGAATAGCTAGACTTTCTTTGTGCTCCAACAGTATTTCCAAACAGGAAGAAGACTACTTAGTGAAGACTACTGTACCACAAGATAGAAGAATTAGTTTTAGCCAAGGGGCTCCATCAAATAAACCAGAGGATATTTGCCACTGGGCAGGAAAAAATCTGAGACAATTGTTGACTATTCTTTGAAGAACAAAATCAACTCACATGAAAATCTCTTAATGAAGCGGATTTAGGGCTGATGAGAGTTTTTATTGCAGCTTCCTTCTGTTGGGCCTAGAATAAGCACACAGACATTTCTGACCTCGTTAACCTGATTGTGTGCAACACGATCAGCATAGCTTAAGGATGGTTTGTAATATCAAATGCTTGTTCTGCACAGGATCTTCTTTTGTAGTAGGCCATACATTGGCACTGCCCGCCAGTTATGACTCAGATTCTTTGACCTTAGGCTATGAGCTTGCAAGGGGGAACCTTTGCTGTGTCCACATCTTTTCTGACTCATACTGGCTGGAAGATCAGGTTAAGAAAACAGAATTATCTGCATCAGGAACGGTGAAGCAAAGCAGATGGCAAGAAACCAAAAGTCTGAGACCTTGTCTCCGGAATGAAGATGCTCTCTTGATTGGCGATAAAACATCACCCCATGTGAAGCTGTGCCAAGTTGTGTACAGCAAAACCAGGCCTCTAACACTGGCAACCTTTTCAGCTCTGCACGCTGGCAGCGTTCTCCAGACTTCCTTGCTCTCAGAAAGGTCAGGAGAGGACAGGGCAGTGCCCATCTTTTTGAGGCGAGCTGATTGACTTTTGAAGATGAGAATGACAAATATGCGCTTGATAGCAGATATGCAGATAAGCGTGAATGTCCTACTCAGCGTTTAGCTCCGGTGGCAGCTCCTGATTATAAGGGGAACTCAGGATCTAGGGTGTATTTCCACAAAGGGGTGAGACTATAGAGGTGCGGAACACTTTCCACTTCCACCCAATTCAAGTGAAGCAGAAAGGTTTCTAAGGTGTCCTTTAGAAGACCTGGTCAGCATCATTTCTCTGCTCTGTGCACGTGCTACTTGTATGAAAGCTGCACTCTGATGTTTAGAGAAAGGACTGGGACATTCAGAGCAGTCTGTTACAGCAAAGAAAGAACAGAGCTTGACAGCGGATGGAGATTTCATCAGATGAGAAATAGCTTTACAGTCAACATCATGGGAAGCTCTTTTGAGAGCTTGTACCTTCATTGAGAAAGCACTTTTTTATTCATTGCAGTCTCTTCATGTCTTTTACATGAATATAATGGAAAACTGTACATTTGGATGGTTATGTCTGGGAAATGAAAAATGAATCCTATTTCTGCCTTTCTGCAAAAGTCAAACATCAGTCTGTACAGAAGGAATCTGCTCCATAGGCTTCAGAAACATAAACAACAAGGAACAATTTGGATTTGACCACATAGTTGCATTCCCAACTCAGTGTTTTGCTCCCAGTGACATCTCTTCCTCTTTTACAGAAATGAAATTCTCCCCTGTACCATACAAAATCATCAACCCATCCATACAACCACCACCAATCTGTCTCCTAATTTAGGATTCACATATTCTTAGGGAACCATAACCCCAAATACATTCATTTAAAATAGAATCATGGCTTTTTAGTACAGAAATGAAGTTTCATGGTTTGGTTTGGGTTGGTTTTTTAGGTAAATTATGCATTTATGGAAAAATAATTCAAGGCATGTAAGATGAGATATCAGGTTTGGTTTAAACATTCCTCCCACTCTACAATTACTTGGATCAGTTCACACAGTAGACTAATAAATACAACTTATGGATTGTGACATATTGTTCCTGCCAGTAGGGAACACATATATTAAGGAAGATCTGATGGTTGGCACTTTAATGTGAGAAGAAACCAGTATTAAAACTGAGCGAAGAGATGGTGATTACATTATACTCTTCCTTGTGCTCAAGGGTTTTAACCACCAATATTTCAAGGAGAACATGTCCTCCAGAAACAAAGAGAGAGGGAAATTCCATTTCCCAGTTTTATGCCCATACGAAATAATGCTAAACTGATTTAGATAGGAAATAAAGCTGTGATACCTGTGGTCAAAATGCAGCTCACCTAAACCCACTGGTATTGGCACAACATACCTGCTTTGTCTCTGCTGATATAAAATGTCTTTGTTTAAGTAAATCCTCAATATCTTTGATCATTACAAAGTTAAGGAAGGTTAATTCCTTAGCGGCTGTTGAATCCAAGAACATAGAAACGCCACTCCCAAAAGACTCCACTGGTGTTATGTCACCCAAATCAGATCTGTAACACTTAACAAGTCTTGCCTTGGGAGAGAGAAGGACAAGCAAATCCAATCTCACCACTGAGCTTATTCCAGATGGAAATGTGTCATGAATTAATCATACAAACTCCTGTACCTCAACTGGAACAGAATACTGGTTTTATTCTTAAAAGGATGCCACATTCCCTATGGGACATCCGAGTTATTAACATCTCTACTCACAAATAACATCTGGAGCTCTAAGGGGATATAGAAAATGCCAAAGCAACTCTCCTCAAGAGATGCAAGGCCAGCAATGAAAATATTTGCAAGACAATGAACCCACAGGGAACCTGACCTTCTTCCAAGCCTTCAAGCAAAGAAACAAAACCCGATCCAGCTTCATGTAAGCAAATGGCTCTCTGCTGAGAGAAGAGCACCCAACAGCTGCTCTTCTGCCTAAAGAACTTGGTGCGATATAGATGCCATTAAAGCATGGGGAGGATGGATAATTGACTGGAGATCCCAGAACATGAATCTATCTCTTTTAACTCACCATACTGTGCACTAAATAGGTTTCTTGTAGTACAATACAATACACAAGATGTCCTCCTCAGCTAACAGAGCACAATGGAAGACTATTGTAATCAAGAAGTATAATGCCAGAAAGAGTAAAAAGAAACTCTTTGGCCATTATCTAGTCCTTTCTTTCTGACAGGCCCAGCCTCTTCACCTCATTCACCCTTCCTGTCTCCTGTGAGGAGATCCATAGAGACATTAAGCCTCTTGCTCAGCCTTGTTTGAGGAGGTCACTGCAGGAGCAGTGCAGATCTTGCAGAAGCTAAGGACATATTGATTGCCTTTGGTCAGATGTCTTGTCCTGCAGCAAAGTACCTCTTGCATTTATGCTCTCGAGCCAGTGGGCTGTAGGTATCCTCCAGGGAGCTATCCTGAAAGGAGATACCATTTTTACTAAGCACATGTATTGAGAAGCCATGGACAAGAAAGCTAAGTATGACAATAAAACTTCTACAGCCCAGTGACCTAACAGACTGCTTTACCCTTGGTTTCTCTGTTTTATACTAATTTAAAACAGTTTCACAAGGATTTTTTAACCATTATAATCCCAGTAGTTAGTTTTTAATCCTGCTTTGAGATGTCTGAGCTCTGCAGAACAATTCTATCCAGTTCACTGCCTTGGTCTTTGATTAATGGACCACAATTAGGAAGATGTGTGTGTCTGTACACACCAGGTCCTCAGGACTCTGGGAAGTCCCTCCACCTCTGTGTGGTCCACAGAGGACTGGGAAGAAGGAAACAGGGTTCATAAAACTGGTTTCCACTAGAAAGATGAGACCTGGAGAACTGGGAAGGGGAGACTGGGGCTTTGTCCCGTGAATCCATCAGTAAAAGGAATGCTGGGCACCTGGGCAAAGCAGAATGGGCCATTTGCTCATGGTTCCATTGACTGGGGGAATGTAGACATTGAGGTGGAAAGGCCAGGGCTGTTTTGTCACGGCTTCATTGCTCAGGGGAATGTAGGCACCTGCATTGCACAGCCAGGGCAATCTGCCCACAGCTCTGCCAAACAGGGAAACACAGGCACCTCTGGTCTCACCAACAGGCCTGTTTGCAGCTTTGTAAGTAGCTGACAGTGTAAGAGAAGGGGGTTACAAGGAAAAAGAAGAAACCAAGCAGAAAATGCAGTGGGCAGGTGGGATATGTACCACTGCTTTGCTGTGGTACTGCCTGGTGTACGCCTGGTATAGTTCTGAGTGAAGCCTGGCAGCTGATTCTGTTCGTTTAAGGGGGTTTATCTCCCTATGTGCCATCAACACACAACAGAACACTCTTCCAGACATGTCCCACAAGCTCTTTTCTGGCTCCTGCAAGCAAAAAGGAGCACAAGTATTTTATATGCTGCAAGAATCCTGGTCAGTTCACTAGAAAGAAAGGAAAAGGAAAACACAGGGAGAGAAAGAGGGAATCCCTATGGAAACAAAAAAGCTTTCACTCCACTTCTGGAGTCAGTCAGACAGGCACTGTCACCACTTCTAAAGCAAGGCCAAAGAACCCTGAGGCCAAGCCCCTCTGCTGTGGTGTTTAAACTCAACCAAAGGAGAAAATAGCTCTCAATTTGGAGTCAGAATGGACACGATAGGGGACATCTAATCCTGTGTATGAATGCAACCAGCTCTCTAGTCGCTGAACAGCAAGAAGTGACTGGGCTCAGTAACCCACGGAGAGATGCTTAAACTCCTTATCTCACTTAGATAAAACTCCTTAGTTATCTCACTCCTGTGAGACAGGCACTTCCTATCTCACAGGAGTGAAAGCAGGTAGACAATCACTTGCTGTGATGTTCTGGGATCAGTCACAGTCCCCAATGGCTTATGCAGAGTCTTCTAAATAGGGACTATTACTGAGCATCACCTTAGGATGTTTGCTGCGTATGCAGCGTCCTACATCTATTCTTGGATGTGTATCTTCTGTCTTCCAGGTGATCTATCGTGCCTTAAGTCCGGCTAACAAGATTGAAGACCCCTACAGTCCTGAGGCTCAAGATCTCCTGAAACTCACCAACCTCCGCCTCCTTCTGTTGAAAAGACAGGAATGTCCCTGCCACAGCTTGGGATTGGTGGAGAAACCCCAGAGATTTGCCCACTATGCTATTTATGACCTGATCATCCGGGGAAGCTGCTTCTGCAATGGGCATGCAGAGGAATGTGAGCTTGCCAACAGGACGGGGGTCATGGAGAACATGGTGAGTTCTAGACATTCACTTACTAGTGTTAGCACAAACACTGCTTGTGCTCTCTCAGCCTACATTTGTGTGTGATGCTGTCCAAGCCTTCCTAAGCCTGTCTAAATCCTCCCTGGGACACCTCCCTGGTGCCTCACCACCCTCACAGTAAAGAACTTCTTCCTTATATCCAATCTAAACTTCCCCTGTTTAAGTTTGAACCCGTTACCCCTTGTCCTATCACTACAGTCCCTAATGAAGAGTCCCTCCCCAGTATCCCTATAGCCCCCCTTCAGATCCTGGAAGGCTGCTCCGAGGTCTCCATGCAGCCTTTTCTTCCCCAGGCTGAACAGCCCCAGCTTTCTCAGCCTATCTTCATACATACATGACAGCCACTTTAAACTAGTCAATAGCTCCACTGGTTCCATAAATCTGTCTGTCTCTGTGATGGGTTTTGAAAACCAAAATAACCCTTAGAACTTTAGTTGCTGGTGCACAGTGATGCAATAGACTCCAGAAATGCAACCTCAGCTGATTTCTGTATATATGGTACCCCTGACATTTTGGTTTATTCTCCTTTGGAATGTGTATTCGTTGTCTTCCTTTCAACTTTTCTAGGTTCAGAGGTAGATACTGGAAGATAATTAGGACTGTATGAGTCTCACAATGCTTGCAAGGTCATTTCTGCATCAGTTCCATCTGCGGTATAAATCTGATTCAGCTACAGCATTCTAGCACTAGATGATATGATCAGATTCAGTTAACTATACATACAAATACAGACTCATTTATTACATAACTGTGGGGAGAAAAGCTGTTTAAAGAGTTCATTCTCCCTGCTGCAAACTGTAAAATATACACATAGTGAAACCAAATAGCTGAATAACATGTTAAATGAATGCAGCTGGGAGAAGAACAAACACTGTCCCTCAGAGGAGGAAAACACAATATTGTGTATATTACTGGCATAACCATTGTAAACTATGACTGTTTTTTTCCCCCCACCAGTCACAAGGGAATAGAATCCTTCTGTGCCACAAATGACTTCATGGGGCAGAGGGTGAAATAGTTGTGATGAATTGCACTTCATGAGTGACTCATGTCCCAGGAGGCAAGAGGGTGGATGCATCACATCGTATGCAAGGCCCATCTATCAGCAAGTCTTTGCCTAAGCAGAGATTCAGTGCAGCAATGAGAAAAGTGAGAAAAGCCTTCCTGTTATGTGTTATTCTATAGTGAGTTATTTCTTTATTAAGCTCCAATGAAGTAAGAGCTCTCAGGTCTGCCATCTGCTTTGATGACACTTTTTAGGTGCATCAAGGGGTGCTTCCAGAGCAGAGGTTACAAAGCAGAAAGCACCCCATGGACACAACCCAAAATTCAGACCAAAGTCCTTGCTGTTTGCCAGACATTTCACAATCCTCTTTCTGGTCCATGAGAAGCAAGTAATGACAGAAGAAAGCAAATGTGGATTAAAATGGGTTTGTGTAAAGCATTAGGGGCTTTTTACTTGGTAGTTATTGGTACCTACCCTGCCAGGAAACTCTTACAAGTGGCCTCGGATGTTTCTTTTGCTTCTTTATCCTGTTTACAGGCACAAACTTGACTCCCTGTGGGTCTGATCCTCCCCACTGAAGCAAATGGAAAGTTTTCCACTTACTTCAAAGGGCGCAGGATCTGGCCCTAAGTCAATTCCTTGTTTGGCAAAATGGAGATTACATAAGGTAAAGCTTGGTTTTCCACAGGAGTTTTGTAGGTGACTTGGCTGTCGTATCCCTCGCAAATGTTACCTCCTCTTCAGATACCTTGTGCAGTTCTGCTGATAATTCCCAGCTCAGTTTCCACATTATCTGATCCAGGCTGTGCCAGTTTGTGTGATGTCCGGCACTCAGAGATGCAGGAGCTGCTCTCTTGTAGCTGGCAACTTAAAGAGGAGGTTTTGTTTAAGAAAACATTACTCTGTGCGCATCAACTATGTCAGTAGTGCCATGAATGTTAAATACGTAAAGATCATGTCAGAGTAAATTCTAGAAACAGATCCCTGTGCTGATACTTCCCCCAGAATTAAAACTCAATAAGGATTTCAAGCTCTTCCTATAATGATCTGAAAACATACAAGAGGAGGCCACGAGGATGATCAGGGGACTGGAGCACCTCCTGTATGGGGAGAGGCTGAGAAAGTTGGGGCTGTTCAGCCTGGAGAAGAGAAGGCTGCATGGAGACCTCATAGCAGCCTTCCAGTATCTGAAGGGGGGCTATAAGGATGCTGAGGAGGGACCCTTCATTAGGGACTGGAGTGATAGGACAAGGGGTAATGGGTTCAAACTTAAACAGGGGAAGTTTAGATTGGATATAAGGAAGAAGTTCTTTATGTAAGGGTGGTGAGGCACTGGAATGGGTTGCCCAGGGAAGCTATGAATGCTCCATACCTGGCAGTGTTCAAGGCCAGGTTGGACAGAGCCTTGGGTGCCATGGTTTAGTGTGAGGTGTCCCTGCTCATGGCAGGGGGGGTGGAACTTGATGATCTTAAGGTCCTTTCCAACCCTAATTGTTCTATGATTCTATAAAATGATACAAATTATGAAGCAAAAATAGTCAAGAATTATATGAACTACATGAAGACAGTGGTGTTGCTGACACTTTTTCTACCCATAGTGGATCAAAGTATGTCACAGGAATCCTTGCAGGAACATGCAGGTCAGTGAGGAAGCTTCAGATCTTTGTGTTCAGAGATGACAAAGAAGCTGATGGGGAACATCATGAAATGGCTCTCTTTAACTTTTATGGACAGTTGCAGTGAGTTCCTAGTTTCCTAGGGTGAGATGTGCTTCAGAACTGTGACTCAAAATGACAGTGAAGTCAGCTGGATTGTCCTCCCCTCCCTGCAGAATCAGCACTTTGCATTCCAGCCATTCCAGCTGGAACAGCAGGACACTTGTAAGCAGTAGTTCCTCCACCTCTGAATTGACATTCAGGTAAGGTTCAGGTAATGTTAGGTCTAAAGTGGTCCCAGGGACCATTCCAGGGTGATTTAGTAGTGCCCATCCCCTGCTTTTCCATTGCACTCCTACCCTCTTCTGAAATCCATCAGTGTGCTCGATATCTATGCAGGTTCTCTATATCTCCACCAGGAGCCTGTGGTTTGCAGCCAGAGCATCTGGCATTCATGCCACCAACGTGATGCTTTGAGTCTCTATGGTTTAGCGCATAACCACAGTTTTGATGGTACGATCCATGTCGTGGTTCACTCGGCAGGAATTCAGCAATTATAAAGGCAACAAGTTCTCCCTACATTTTAGTATTGTTGTGGAATTGGCTTTACGACTGAAGTCCAAATCAGAAAAACATGCCTATTGAGGAGTGGTATTTAAACACATGCCTAAAAGCTTTCCTGAACCAGGGCTTGGTGTAGATCCACCCATGCAGAGACTCATCTTACTTGTAGGAAACTGCCTCTTATTCCGTGGGATGTGGTAGCAAACAATTTCCTATCTGACATTATTAACCTTTAAACAGCTTTTCTTAAAAGCAATGGCTCTGGGGGAGCTATTTCAATGTATCTGGATTTTATTGCTTAACGGCTCTCCTTAATACCAGTTTTTGTTGGTTTAATCACTTAAGCAATGTTCTTTGCTACTTTCATCTCTGTGAAAGAACAATAATAACCTTTCCAGTAGACACATTTGATTGGAAACACTTGTAAATATATTTTAGGGTTGGTAAATTAAGCCTTCTAGTTCTTTTAAGGACTGTGTTTCATACGAAAGCTACAAGAGTCTCTGTGTGTCTAAGAGAAGTAATTGATTCACCTCATAGCTATCAGGCACCCCTTGCTACCAATACCTCTCTGATGTCCCATAGCGCAGCCTGTTTCTGAGGTTCTTTCATTTAAGCTCCATGCAGTGAATACTGTTCTGTGTCTGAGTTGAATTTGACACAGCCACCAACACTAGGAAGTTGCTGTGATGTGATAGTCATAGGGGATGCTGGGTTTGGCCTCATACATCAAGTCCTTCTGCTTTAAGCTCCCTTGGGACTGAACAGATTGCTATGTTGCTTCTGTCCTCAGCTCACCTATGTGCTACTAGAACAAAAGCTTTCAGTCTGTTACCAAGGCTTTTCAAGGCTTTTCAGCCAATTCAAGCATCCTCAATAAATCTTCCAGGAATTTAAGCAAGTCTTTCCAGGGTTGTACCTTGTGGGCACCTGGAGTTTGCATTTTAATGCTTTGGTACATACAAAATACGAAGCAATTTTGCACAGGATTATAAAGAAATTCCATATTGGCTTTGGAGCCTTCGGGCATTTAGAATCCTTCCCTTGCCGTGCACAAGTTTTCTACTAAATCATGGACTTTCTTGCCTTTTCCTTCCTTATTCCTTATAAATTCCTTATAAATTTGGCTGGTCCTGACCCTTTTCCAGCTCTGCCCCTCCACGCTCCCCAGGCTGCAGCCATCTGCAGAGAAGTTGCAAAACCCCATTTTTCCCTTGGCTTCATCTATTCCATTACTCAACATAATTTCACTTGAATGGGAGCGATGAGCGCTGCCAAGCTCAATCCATATGGAGGCAAAAAAACAGAGAAGAGCCCATAGGCCCACTTTGGGAGTGGATTTTCAATCCCCCCCCCCCGCGAGCCACTGTGGATTAACCAGTAGAACCTGAGGCAGTTGCTGGGGTTAGCCAGACTTACTACAAAGTAAACGACAGTATTATTTGCCTGTTGAATGAACAGGTCATGTCCACAGTGTGGTAACCCATAATGCCTGCCCTGTAACCCCCCAGATCCTTGTTTCTATATCAGAACCTAGAGTTTCTGCCCTGAAAACTAAATCTGGGTCTTTCTACAGCAAAGGTAGTTCAGTGGCATCAGGAACAAAACCTTGAACAAGACCAAACTCACTTGTGCCAAGGAGATTTTAAGTGAGATTTGCTCATTATGCTGTGATTCAGGCATTTACCTGTTAAATATTGACCCTCGCTCCCCTTTGTGCTTCCTTCATTCTTAAGACACTAAGA